GCCTCTCCTCTTTCCAATTTTCTCTGCTGGCCATTCGAGTTTTCACCACCAATGACAGCCTTGGATAAACATTTGGGGACTTTGCTGCCTGAGTATAAGCAGCTCTTATATGTCTGATGGAAAACATCAAAGGATGAAGAGCAGGAAGAGGCCTGTTCACAGCTGGAAGCCTGCAAGCCCCTTGCTCCTCATCTACTCCCCAGATAGCTCTAGGCCAGTGGACATGACCTCCCCTGCCAAAACCACTACCACAGCTCTGCCCAACCTCAACAACAGCTGCTGGTTCTCATTTCAAGCTCAAACCAAGGGTCCCACATTCCCTATCCTTTCCCATAAAAGATTCTTCTCCTGGGATGATTATTGCCATGTTTCCTATTGTATCCCAGTTCCTCCATCCCAAAAGTCCAGCCAAAGAAGCTGCATAAAGATGCGGGCCACACAAGGAGAAGGACTGCTACTGATGTTCATCTCCTGCAGAAAACTTCAGAGGCGGTTCCCCAAAACACCCTAGGTGGCCAGTGTCAAGGCAGATATGATCCCAGTGGGCACAGGGCTTTTGTTTGCTGCCATCACCAAGATGAAGGCCTTGGGTCTGGCCCCTTGCCCAGCGACAGGACAACCCTTTTGCTGAGGTCAGTGATCTGCACCACCTTGCCTTTCCTTTTTGGGCAATGTCTCCTCTGCCATTCCTGCAGCAGTCCCACAGCACATCCTGCACACCCCATCCGATCAACCTGACAAAGAACCAAAGCAGAGACTGGCTCCCACACTCAAGAAATAGCACCTGGTTCCCAGACTGAACCTCCCTGGGACACTGCTGTACTAGCAGTGGAGGAGACAGGGAGACCTAAGACATGCCAGCTGAGCCTGCTGACAGTCTAGCTGTGGGTACCAACTGTGTCAAGGCACCTGGACCCACTTCTGGTACGGTATGCACTGCCCTTGGTCTGATGCTGTTGCCAAAACAAATTCCCAGTGGATTTCCCAATAAAGTTTAGCCCTTACCAGGTAGGTTTGTACCACAGAATACGAATGACAACAGCCTGTCTCAGAGCAGAGTCCCAGATTCAGTTCAAACCCACTGCTCCTTTCTTGCTCCTCAGAGTCATCCAAAGAAGAGCACTGTCAAGGTTAGGCTCTTTTCTGCTCCAGACTGCCTGCTGGCTGCAGGCTTCTAGGTGGCTTGAGTCTGCTGTAGCATGTTTCCCTTTGTGTACCATGGGTTTCAGACTACGTCCTAAAAGCAGTTGAATAACACTAAATCCTGTACAAGTGAGCAGCCTTTATGGCAACTCATCTGTATGTTCAACACTATCAGATGTAAAAAATATTGCATACATATCCACAGCAGCTGCTATGTTGGTCTGGGTAAATGCTGAGGAAATAAAATGCACACAACCTATTTAATTTAAAAAGTTTTTTTTTTCTTTTTTTTGAAGGATATCTTTAAAGTCTGTGTTACTCTGTATTTAATAGAGTGGTAACTATTAAGTGTATCAGAAGTTTAGAATACCACACAAACTTTTTGAAAGTCTATCACAAGCTCTAAAACAATATTTTCCTTTGGTGCCACATAAACAAAGCATCAGATCATTATCTTTGTGAAACAGAGGCAGTGCTGTTTGCCAAACATAATTTGTGAGATATTTGGCAGAATTTGCAACTAAACCAATTCTATCATTATGACTGTAATGTCTTACCAACAGTCAGGAGACCCTGGGAACAACAAAAAAGTGGTTCTCAAGTTCTTCTAGCATGATATAATGCATGTATTTGTAGAGTTCATCCAAATAAATTATATGCTAGATGGTACTTTTAAAAAAGAAAAAGGATTTTTATGGTTTTATTTTAATTGAAATACCGTATACTTGAGATGACCACATGATTTGCAATAATTGTCAGTCTGTGTTCTGAACTCTATAATCCAGTATTTATCAGGATTAAATGGTGAATATGTTTACATTACAGTGATATTTATGTCTCAGCAATTTCTGATTCTGTTTAGCTCTGGGTAACTCAA